CCCCCCCCCCCCCTCCCCCCCCCCCCCCCCCCCCCACCCAGTGGGATGGGGGAGAAAATCGGGAAAAGAAGTAAAACTCATGGGTTGAGATAAGAAAGGTTTAATAGAACAGAAAAGGAGAAACTAATAATGATAACACTAATAAAATGACAACAGTAATAATAAAAGGATTGGCATGTACAAATGATGCACAGTGCAATTGCGCACCACCTGCTGATCGACACCCAGTTAGTCCCCGAGCGGCGATTTCGCGCCCCCACTCCCCAGTTCCTATAGGAGATGGGACGTCACACGGTATGGAATACCCTGTTGGACAGCTTGGGTCAGCTGCCCTGGCTGTGTCCTGTGCCAACCTCCCCACTGGCTGGGCATGAGAAGCTGAAAAATCCTTGACTTAGTCTAAACACTACTTAGCAACAACTGAAAACATCAGTGTTATCAACATTCTTCACGTACTGAACTCAAAAGGTAGCACTATACCAGCTACTAGGAAGACAGTTAACTCTATCCCAGCTGAAACTAGGACAATAACTATGGAATACGGAAACAACTTCTTATTCAAAATTAACAGAAAGAATGGTTACTTCTATTTATGAAAACACATACTTGATAAACCCAGCAAATTCTAGCCCAAACATGTCACTATTAAAAAATAGAAAACTAGGGAACAATTTCATCTGCTGTTTTATGAAGATGTGTTTATTTGAAAGAAATGTGGAAAGGCTTACCAATGCTGAGAGGGAGGGCAGCCAAGAGACCTCAGGAGCGGGGGAAATACAACCCTGAGAAAAGTCTAAGAACTAGGATTTGGGGCTTGTAATTGACTGAAGGAAGCATGGAGTTGAGGCAAGAAGCTGTCTCCTGCTAATTGGTTTCTGTTGTACTCGGGGAAAAGGGACTTCACTCATTCATTCATAAATAGGCTTGTATCAAAACCATAATTTGTTTCTATTTATAACAAAAACAATCTGTGAGACCTAGCATCTGGTTAACTAATTGATTTGCTAAGCAAAATTTTATATGTAAAGGAAGACTACACTTGAAGCATTGTTTGCTTTAAAAATGGATTTTGATCTGTGATCACGCATGTTTTAAGACTACTGTCAAATGTTTTATATTATTTTATATTACTTATTTAATGAATGATATAGAACTTTTCTCCAAGGTCCTATTTAATACAGTTTTATAGGCTTTCTGTAAAGATACAGTGAAAGCTGAAGGATTTTTCATCTATTTGGCCAGTTTGCCAGTCTGCAGTAGTAGCTCTCCTACAACATTTAGTCACTTGAACCAGTACCCATCTGTTAAAGTTTTCTTTTAGAGCATAAGTGACACACGCTTAAGTGAATTTAACTTCCGAAAAATGTGTTGCTTCAGAAAGGTGTTTTTCCTCACACAATAAGATGGGGTTCTAGTTGAAATTTGCAGATAATGTTTGAAGTAAATATGTGATTGTGAATTGAAAGGGGTTTTTTAAGTGCTCACTAAAGTTTTTTATCACTTTGAATTGTTTATCAATATATCTGGCTGTGCACATGGTACAGGCCATAGAATCTTTTCAGTAACACCTACATCACATTCATAAGTGATTAAAAAATGTTTTCTGGAAAGATGTGTAGACTTGATTTAAACATAGCAATTATTAAAGAGTCTGTCTTACATCTAAGAAAATAGATTAAATGACATACTCTTTAAAAAAATAGCTGTATTCCTTGTCTGCGAATATAACCTGATCCTACAAGATTAGGGAATCAACTATGAATGATGCTGCTGCATCTTGGTAGTGTCCTTGACAGAGCAATAGAGCTTTCCATTCACAAATTTGGAGAAAGGATACAATACTTTCTTTGAATGGGGACCAGTGCCTGCAGCGTTATCTTGGTGGGAAGAGAATTCTTTGTTTCCAGAATTAAAATGTCAGAAGCTGTAGAATCAATGACACTCTACCAGACAGATTGTCTTCTTGGTATGGACAAAAGGATTTTTTTCAAGCCCTTGCTTTTCATGTTTATAATATGAAAATAATTTTCGGCACTTAATGAGTCTGTCACTTGACTGATTATGATTATTTTCTCTCTCGTGTGCCTGTTTCACATGAATAATAACCTCACATGGTTCCTTAGGCTATACATCTCTCAGAGAATTCTATGCTAGTATTTAAATATCTTCTCGTTATGTTTAGAGGAACCAGGGATAATAGAGTCTTTATTTTAAACTTGAACTTACATGCTAGATCTTATAAAAATATAAAGTTTAAGTTTGGTAGCAATGTAACAGAGGTTAAAATTTGGCAGGCTAGGAGGAACCTGTTGTGCAAAATACAGAAAATATGCAAATATAACTTATTTTAATGATTAGGATTCTGAAATGAAATAGCTGAAGTTCTACTTTTCACTCAAATTGGAAATGTTATTTTGTATTTTTTTTGTGAGGAAGAATTAGTACATGATTTTGGCTGCTCGCTGGTTATAAGATTTTCTAGACTTGTTGACTTCTTTATTGCCAGGCTGAGGTAAATTATCTCCATTTGATTACTAGATGAGGCTAGAGGGAACTAGCTGAGGTGACATATTTGGACAATATGTGCTGCTGTGCAGTTTTTTGTGGTAAGTCTAATGATTGTTAAAATGTAGAGCTCTCATGAATGTTTTTAAACAATACCAAATCTAAAGACACAAAAATGCCAAAATATCACTTGAACACAGTTGCATGAGTAAGCCCATTTCGTATATTTGTGATGGAGAATACACCAAAGAAGTTGCCTAAAGAATACTGTAAGTATCAACTTCTGCATGAAATGCAGGGACATTTATTTAAAAACGCAAGTGGAGAAGGAACTACATAGCTGTGGATTTTAGTGACTCATCGTCTTAGCACTTGCCTTGGCCCAAAGCAATTCACATCCTTCTTTTGATTCAAAGAAATTGACTCAATAGTTTGATTAACTATTAAGTAGGTATTCTTTATTGGCAGCGCTGGATGCACGGGGGATCGCTCCACCTATCGTGCACACCGTCAGGTCTAATTGTGCAGGTTAAATTCATGTTCTATATACATATTCACTAGATTTCCGAGAAATGTTATACATATTCATTAGTTTTCCCGGAAACTATTAGCATATGCAAATGTCCTTTACGCAGGCGCATTGAAGGTCTCTGGTGGTCTTCAGGAGTCCTCCGGTGGTCTTCCATAGTCTTCCTCACTTGTCCGCTATTTGACCCTTCTCAGGTGATTCTGCGCAGTATGGTCTTTTACATGTTTTAATACATCACTGCTCGTTAGTGTTCTTATTATCTAAGTTCTCAGTAGTGGTGTAAAAACCATATGGTTAGTTTAAGCTAAATTATCTACAAGGACGAGAACAAAGGCAGGAGTTCTTATCTTTTCTGGCCCTATCTATTCAAGCAAGGCCTCTACTTGAGCCTTCTCGACAAGATCGTAAATTTATCAAACATTTAATTAAGTTTTGTGATTGTTCATGGTTCCTTCTTGCTCATCACTCCCAAGTACCAGTCTCTGACAGGCTTAATCCTTGACGAGCACTAGTCTTTGGTATGTAAAGTTACAGAGAGACAATCATTAAGCAATTAGCAGTTCGTTCTCTATATCAGTAGTGAAAATCTCTTAGTACTACTGCCTTTATTTTGCAGCTTCTGTAATCTCCCTTATGTTTCCCAGTCCCGATTGTGTTCTGACTGGAGTTAATAGTACAACCTTAGCCTTATGTTTTTATTATTTAAGTATGGGATTTCCATAGCGTTTCTTTTTTCCCCACTGTAATTTTATGCTGTTAAACTTATTATTTTCCTCCACACAGGTCATTGCTTCCCCACTTGTACATCCTGTTATTACTGTAAAGTTGGTAGCCTCAGGACACTCTGTCCATGGATAAAACCCTTTTCCCCCAGGTCTTTTTTTACAAGGTGATCACTGGATCAACTACGTATCCTATTCACTATTTTAGGCATTCTGATGCTCAAGGTGTTTTCTTATGATTCCCAGTGAATATTTTCTCATTGTTTGTTAAACTAACTTTGGATTTAAGCCTTGACCTGACTTATATTTAATCTATTAGAAATCTTGATTCCAGTCATGAGTCTCATGAATTTTGGCTCCAAAATATGCCACTCCCATGGCAGCAGTATGTCAGCTTAACTCAGGTTTAGAATATGCTTGCCTAAGGACAGTATGCTTCAGATAACCTCACTGGAGTAGTTTTTTACAGCTTTTGCTGTGAATTTTCTTTTCCTCACTAAGCACACTTGAACTGAAACTAGCTGTCAATCTCAGCACTTCATGAGTTAAAACTCATGGTCATTCTAAATTAAGTTTTGGTTGTAGCTGAAAAACTGTAGTAATGCAGTAGACCAAGAAAACGTAATACTTCATTGACTCTTGGGGAAAAAAAAAAACATTGCTAGTTTTTTTTCCCCTCCACTTTTTCCCAAGCTGTGTAATGGCTAATCCTTTGAGTTCAGTCAATAGGCTGTTAACACAGCAGTTAACTGAAGAGCAGGAGCTGGCAAACTGGTTTGCTTCATTGCGGTTCATAAGTGGCTGTTCTCAGATACTTGTAGATGATCAGTGATTTAATGATTTTTCTACATGATTGAAATTCCTCTGTTAAATACATTGTGCAAGATCTAGAAATGCAATTTTCTACCTGAAATCTTTGTGCTTACTAGCTTATATCGGAGCCTTAAGTTTGATCTGGGTCACACAAGCAACATAAGTTTACATTTAGACAGGTACCTCTTGTGTTATAGATTCTACTCAGTATCAGATGGCACAGTGGTTTTTTGGTCTAACCTTAACTGAACCAAAATTACAGAGGAAAGTAGTACGCCAGACCAGCTAACTGTCCCTCATAATGATACCTGTCTTAGTATACTCTTACAGGTTTTTGGGAGGGCCTCTCTCTTGTTCTAATACAGTATTCATTGGTTATTACTGGAAATAACAAAAAGTTTTGCCTTTAGTGAACATCAAAGTATTTCCTTTTTTCAAAGTTGATTGATTTACCCACATTTTCATGTTTGAATATGATAATAGTTCTGATTTACTGACAAAATACTTTATTTTCATTTAAGCCTAAATCTCCTTTTTCTTGAGTAAAGATGAAGGCAGCTTGTTTCCTGTGTTAAGCTGTAGATACTAACGACAGAAATGGTTATAGTTGCACAGTTACTTTGCAGTATATTGCGTTTACTTTAATGAATTAAAAAAGAAAAATCTCTGGAGTACAGACTGTGTGGGAGGGATGTTTAGAGGATTAAGGTCAATGATTTGTCTTAAGGGTGCTTACTGTTTGTATTTTGGTTTTCACAGTTTCATCACTGGTCCATCTGTAGTTCCTGGCTACTTCTCAGTTGAGGCTGAAAATGTTGTGCTAGTTCTGAATGGAAGAGAAAAAGCGAAGATCACTTATGCCACTCAATGGTTGCATTACGCACAAACATTAATTCAGACTCACAAAATACAGCACATAGCAGTTGTGCTGCTTGGAAATGAGCAGTGCAACAATGAATGGATTCAACCATACCTGAAAAGAAATGGAGGATTTGTAAATCTACTCTTTGTTACATATGACTATGCATTGGTAAATGAAGAAGATATTTTCCAGTGGCCTTTAGGAGTTGCTACGTAAGTGCTATAGACATAAATTACAATTGAAACTTAATTGTTATGCATGAGGTATAGAAAATATGTCTGAATGTTACTGCTGATACCCAAAACGATTATAGTAAGTAAATTGTAGAACATGATCCTATTAATGATTTTCTAAATCAAGCGTTGGAATTTTTGGAAATTGCATTTAGGAATAAAAATTATAACAGGAAAAGAATGCTAGGATTAAGGTAGCTTTACCTGTGTCTGGTGGGGTTTTCTGTTTTGTTTATTTTTTCTTCAGTAGATTTGCTCTTGAGATTTATCATAAATGCTGATGTAATATGTATGAATAACACGGGGATTTAAAAGATAATTATATAATTAAGTTCCAACTACTGCTTGTTTAGGAAAGGAAAGGGATGGTACTGGTGGTACTTTTTTAACCACTGTTACGGCTCTCAAAAGGAAATTGTGTGCCTCCCATTTGGAATTAATATACTCCAGTATCACAGTAATGTAAGCTGGCTTAACTGCTTACTCACAAAAACATTTTTGTTATACTTACTGCTGAAACTGTTTATGTGGAGTAGATAAAGGTTTGGTTCAGTTAGATGCATTTTTACTCCTTGTTAACAGAGTCAATAGTGTTTTAGCTACTTATCATGGTAATATAAGATGAAAAGAATACAGGAGTATTTTCATATCTTGTGTTGAATTTTAATTCAATAGCCTGTATTGAGCCAGTTGGCAAACTGTATGGAGTTTTTATACATAGCTTGAACTTGCTCACAGTGTCACTGAAATGCACTAAATTTGGATTCTTGATGATGTCAGAGAATCGATGGCATTGGAGGTTCCTAAGCAAAAAGAAGTTGAGTTTTGAGATGCAAAGACTAAGGCGACAAATAACAGAAAGCAACAACAGTTACAACAATAAACTGGGGTACAAAGCTGGGTGGGGAAAGATAGATCAGTTATCAGAATGGGGCTTTGCAGCCCTTGCATGCCAGTGGTTTTAAAAATTGTGGTTAAAGGTATGCAAATGCACCAGATTTTTCAGATGAAGAGGGAGAACAAAGATGTAGAATCCTGCAAAAATATTTGGCATGAAGAAAAAATGGTTTTCTGAAAGTAAGTGAATTAACATTCATCATGCAGGAGAATAATGAGGAAAGGACTGTTCCATCAAAATTTGGGAAGGTGAAGAAATTGAATATATCTTCAGAACCATTAATGGCAATGAAGAAATCACTGTGAAATAGAGACTACCTTTGAAACCAGTAAAGAATTGGGATAGGGGTATAGCTTTTCTTACAAAAAAAGGAACAACAGGGAAGTAGAACAGTGATCCATCAGAAATAATAACATTAGAAGGAATATGTGTCTTAGTTTGAGAATGCAAAGGAGCAGAAACTTTTTTAACATTCATCTGTTCCAGAAAAAAATACTGACTTTATGTAATGAAAAAGTTAATGCTAGCCCTTCAGCTGAAGCAGTGTTTCACTGGCTGTCATGCTGACCAAAATTAGTGATGTAAGATTTGAGGAATCAGTCAAAAAAAGAAAAATGCCCGATGTGGTGAAAACATGTCTAAAAGGACGGCATAGAGTTTACATTGGATCCCAGGACCTTGCATTGGTTTTGTTGAGTCCAAAAAGACAAGTTAAATAGCTTGTGCGACAAGCTATTTAGTAGCCAAAAGATTAGGTTAATGAAGTCCACTCAGATCAAAGTGTGGTTTTCCTTTGAGAGGTTACCAGTGGTATTCTCAGTTGATAAGCATGCCCAGAGATTAAGGTAGCTGAACTTAAATTCCATAGTTCCCATTCACCTGGCCATGTCAGTCAAAACTAGCGGTTGCATCAAGAACAGCTCCTTTTGAAAAAGCATGTTTCTCAAGGACATTTTGTAACATAGAATCATAGAATCATTTAGGTTGGAAAAGACCTTCAAGATCATCGAGTCCAACCATTAACCATGCCCACTAAACCATGTCCTGAAGTACCCTGTCCACTCGCTTTTTTAATATCTCCAGGGATGGTGACTCAACCACTTCCCTGGGCAGCCTGTTCCAGTGCTTGGTAACCCTTTCAGTGAAGACATTTTTCCTAATATCCAATCTAAACCTCCCCTGGCGCAACTTGAGGATATTTCCTCTTGTCCTATCACTAGTTACTTGACAGAAGAGACCAGCACCCACCTCAGTACAACCCCCCTTCAGGCAGTTGTAGAGAGCAATAAGGTCTCCCCTCAGGCTCCTCTGTTCCAGACTAAACAGCCCCAGTTCCCTCAGCTGCTCCTCATAAGACTTGTGCTCCAGGCCCTTCAC